GGCGCCGCGGGTACCTCCGGTTCCTAAATGGGCCTCCTGACGAAATGACCCTGTGGAAGCTGCTCTTCCAGAAACCCCATCAGAAACATTTCAGAAGGCCTGTGCCTTCCTGCTACGTCAACTCTTGTCTTTGGCTACAAACGGAAATGTCCACCCTCCTCTTCCTCTACTCATTGATGCCGTTCCCAAGTCCCCTGCGCTCCCAGAAGATGAGAACCTGCAACCCAGGGGTCCCTGCCAAGGACCACCCCAGAGGCAGCCTGCTGGGGGAAATGGAAGGATGGGGCCACTGAAACAGCTACCAAAACAACACAGATACCACTCAGAAATTTTAAAAAAATGTATATATACACACACACACATACACACATACATATAGAGAATCATGAACAAATAATGAACATTTCCCAATAGTTTACCATCGACACACAGCATTTTGTGTACATCTTTCCACTCTACAGCTTTCAAATGGAATTGGGACCCTGTTTGTACTCAAAATGGGATCCTGTCTGAATGTTTGCACATTCTGTTTTCTGCCCGCTTTTTCTTTTACGCCTGTGTAAACGTGTTCCTGCCTCATCAAATGTTCCTTTTAAAAACTGTGGTAAGTATCTGTGTCAGGAGCCCTGGTGGCACAGGGGTATAAGCATTGGGCTGCTAACTGCAGCGCTGCTGGTTCAAAGCACCAGTCATCCCTTAGGGGGAAGATGAGGCTCGCTGCTCTCATCACCGTGAACAGTCCTGAACTCTGTCCTCCGGGCTCATTATGAGCCATGATCAACCTGCTGGCAGGGGGTTTCAAGGATATGTGTGAAAAACACCTGCCATTTCAGCATTCTTGCTTGTGCTCACAATATTTCAAACTTCTCTTCAATCATTGCTTTTCTAACTTATTTTATTAAACAGCTTCATTCAATGATGAATCAACTCCCAAAGCACCCACAACCTGAGATAAGAAGAGCAGAGACCCTCTAGGGAGGGGCTCTAACCCCACGATGCTGCCGTACAACGTGTGCCTCCTTACCACAAGCCCTCCTATACCTGCCACGAGTAAACATGGTGTCCCTTCCCTCCAAGAGCACCTGTAGAAACATCCCCTTCCCAGGTCTCTGTTGCCTTCAGGGCCCTCCCCGTCTCCCTCTTGCAAGGCACTTTCTCCTTTCATTAAAGTTCCTTGCTTGCATGATAAGCCCGACACCTCTCTTCTTTATCTTTCCTGAGCAGGGGAACACAAAGAAACCCCCAAAATGAAAAAGCAAAGCCATTGCCATTGCATTGACTCATAGTGACCCTACAGGACAGCGTAGAACTGCCCCTGTGAGTTTTGAAGCTGTGACTGTTTACAGGGGTAGAGCGCTCTGTTGACTGGTGGTTTTGAATTGCTGACCTTGAGAATCGCAGCTTAATGTGACAGGACCACGTCATGTCACCCAGGCTCCTTTGAGCAGGGCAAAGAACCTTCCGTTGGAGAGATGGTCCGGTAACAGTCTCCCTCCCTCCCTCCCTCCCTCCCTCCCGGGCTGAAATGTGAGTCTCAGGTTCCTGCAGGAAACCCAGCTTCCATTTCTGCTAGACCTAGAAGCTTCTACCATTCTCTCCTTTCTCCTCTCGGCCCCAAACTGCCCCCCATGCGCCTCTTCCCCCTGCTGCTTCAGTGTACATTTTGACCCCGTTCCCCGTGCCCTGCATGAGACCACACACACCCTGTCCCCCGAAACACCCTCCTAAAGAAAGCTCCTCCTCAGGCAGATGGATCGCCTCAATGTCTCCTTCTGCAGGACATGCTTCTGGGTTCTGCAGAACCTCCAGTCTTCTCTGGAAAGCGGCAGAGCCTTATGCCTGGGGTGAAGATCAGCCCCTTTCTTTTGTTTCGAAACACACTGAAAATAGGAACCCTGGTGATGTAGTGGGATTCACACTGAGCTACTGACTGCAAGGTTGGTGGTTCAGACTCACCAGCCACTCTTTGAGAGAAAGATGAGGCTGTCTACTCCCATAAAGATTTAAAGTCTTGCAACCCCAAAGGGGCAGTTCTACTCTGCTCTAAAAGGTCACAACAAGTTGGCATCGAGTTTGGTTTTGAGTGACATGGTCCATGAGCAGGCATGTACATTTCCTCTGATTTCCTTTTTCTATGGGCTGCATGCTGGTTCTGCGAGCCTAGGCTGTTCAGAGTGGGGTTTCTAGTCCCCAGACCCACAGGGCTTCACTGCTTGGGCAGGAAGAGCTTCTTGCTGCCTGGCTCCAGTGGGTGGTTCCTGCCTTGCTGGACAGAGGACCAGAAGATGCCACGGGAGATTCAGGCTTCCACTCCGACAGGATGCTGTGACGAGCTGCTCAAGCCCTCCTGGGGTGAAGCTGCCTGACTTTAGGCTACTTCCATGTCTGGATGCATGCACCGGGCCTCACTGCTGACTGTGCCAGGGGTACTTTCTTCTGCTCACACCGTTTGCAGGATGCCAGCTGGGTATTTCCCTCCACGCCCCCACCTCCTGGTTGTCGGCTTGGGGTAGAGTGCTTCCTTTCTTGTTGGGGTGGCAAGATTGTGGCCACAACCCAAGGCTTGCATCCACTTGGGGCTGCCACTGCCACTCTTCCCGGCAGGACCCAGGCCGGTGAGGAAGAGCCACGAGGCCTGCAGAGCCAGGAGCACCAGGTGCCCCTGATCATGTGCTCCTTCCTCCTCCACGTCCCCAACCCAGAGCCACCGAGGGCACTGGGTGGTGCCTCTGGGGCCCATCTAGATGCCAGCTGGTTGCTGGGAGTGTTTCTCAGGAGTGGGGCGAGGAGGAAGAAGGGGCTGTCAGCTCTGGGCTCTCCTCCACGGCCTGGGAGCCAAGCACTGACCTGAGCTAATGGTGCACGTGCTCCCTGCAGGAGTGAGTCTGCCTTTAAGAAAGCCAACGTGGACGTGTTCCGGGTGAGGACCAACAACGTGGGCCTCATCTACAAAATCAGGTGAGAATCTGGGCCCAGCGAAGGGTGTGTGTGTGTGTGTGTGTGTGTGTGTGTGTGTGTTGACTGGGGTAGGGGTAGGGGAGAGCAGGCAGAGCTCCAGGTGTGTGTGTGTGTGTGTTGGCTGGGGTAGGGAGCAGGGAGAGCAGGCAAAGCTCCAGGGAAGCAGATTACGAACTGACCTCACTGCTGACACAGTCTAGGTGTTGTCCACTCTTGTGGTGTCACTTGCAGGGCCACCAAAGGCCCTCCCATCCCGAATCGTAAATAAAACAAAAGCAAGCCCACTGCCGCGGAGTCAATTCTGACTCATAGCGACCCTGTGTGCCATGCGGCTCCACTCCCTGCATCCCCGCGGCCTGCACTTTGCCACGAGAGATTCACGTCTCTGCGTTCCAGCAAGTGGAACCATCTCCCCACGTGTGCGTGCGTGGCGCACACTCTGAGGAGCTCAGACTGGAGACCAGATCGCTGTTGTTCGGGGTGGCTGAGCCCATTTCAGCCCGTGGGACGGAGGAGAGCTGCCCTTTGGGCGTCCCAGACTCTGATGGTTATGAAGGGAGCCCTGGTGGTGCAGCGCTAAAGTGCTTGGCTGTGCACCCACAGGTCAGCAGCAGGCACCCACTGGCTGCCCTGTAGGAGTAAGTTGCAGTGGTGTGCTCCCGCCAAGAGCAGTCTTGGGCACCCCACGGTCACCGTGAGCCAGTTACTATGTTGGGCTTATCAGCAACGTGCAGATGACACACCTGGTGTGCTGAAAGCCAGGGGGACTGGAAGCACCTGGGCTGGGGAACAAGCAGCGCAGCCTGCAGGGTGAGTTGTCGCGCGCGGATGACACGGCGCAACACGGACCGAGACAAGAATGGTCAGGACCCTTCTGGT